CCTGCCAGAGACCCTCTACATCCCTCTCTTGGGAAGTCAAGGGCCTCTCAGAGAGTTTGGGAGCAGATCTGCCCCAGAGCAATCCCACCTGTGCCAATCTGCACTCAACTGAGTGCCCCCCCTTCTCTTATTATTTTTTTGGCGGTACTGGGGCTTGAACTCAGGGCCACCTTGTGCTTGCTAGGCAGGCGCTCTACCACTTGAGCCACACCCTAGTCTCCCTTTTCCTCTTAAGAGTCACCACATTTTGGGGTATTCACTTCTGTTTGTTGTAATGCCCCCTGCACATGTAATATTAAAAGTTAATAAACTTGTAGACATTTTCTCCTCCTGTCAAGGTGCCTGTTGTCTGTCCCTCTCCCATCCATGTCCCTGTGATAATCAGGCCTGGGAATGGGATAATGGTAGCCACTGGCTAGAATTCAATTTCCTGGACTCAGAACAAATCTAATTGGAAAGTGCTGAGGAGGGCAAGCGTCTCAGATTCACAAGTCTTTTCTAATCCCAGACTGGGAGCCTAGGAAGCACCAAGGTTTTAATCACACTGAGGGTGCAGCAGAGAAAGGGGGAAGAGGGGTCTTAGGGCTGGACTGACATCCACACCCAGAGAAAACTGGATGATTTTCTCTCTGTCTTGATTCTTTCCACCCAGACCACCTGTCTTGGAATTAACTGTGGTCACATCACCGCCTAGACATGAGTTTGACATTGGGGAGAGAAAAAGCAGGGCAGGGAAGGCTCTGGGTTGGCTTCTGGAAAGGTCTATTTTCCCAGAAGCAGGTCATACACGTGGCTAGAGACCTGTTCAGGATAAGTGGCCGAGTTGTCTGCCAAATGTCCCTTTAACCTGCAGCTACTCCACCCTTTGGGGCCATAGCTCTTGGAGATAGATTAACCAGACCTGATGAATCTAGTCCATGGCCTTTGGTTTCGTTTTGTCTTTTTTTCTCCATTAAAAAAATCACAGTTAAGTACATGTGGCATTGATAGTGTTGGCTATTCCTCTGTTTTCTGGTGCACAGTCCTGTGACATTAAGCACAGTCACATTGTGGGACAGATTTCTGAAACTTTTTCATCTTGCAAAGCTGAAGCTCTGTCCCCATTAAATAGCAGCCAGACCTCAGCAGCCAGCTTCTACTTCCTGTCTATGACTTGACTACTCTGGGTACCTCATTGTATTAGGCATCTCTGGCTGGTGTAACAAAAACATCCTGCTATCAAGCTGGGTACTTAAACAACAGACACTTATTTCTCACAGCGCTGGAGGCAAGGCGCCCCAGATTAAGGCGGATCTGGTGTCTGGTGGGGACCACTTCCTGGCACAGATAGGGTCTTCTGCTTTGTCCTCCCATGCTGGAAAGAAGGTAGGGGCTCTTTGGGAGCCCCTGCAGGGCATGAATCCCATCTCTGAGAACATGCCTAAAACCGTCAGATGGAGGTTTAGGATTTCAACATAGGAGTTTTTGGAGGGCACAAACACTCAATCCATTGCATTATTTAAGTGAAATTACACAACAGCTATCCTTTGTGCCTAGTTTATTTCATGTAGCAAAATGTCCTCAAAGCAAGTCCATGTTGTAGCACCTGTCAGAATTCTCCTCCCTTTTCGGGTGGAATATAGTCTGTTGTTTGCATTTTCTGCATTTAGCTTATTTTCATTTATTGAAGGACACCTGGGTTGCTTCCACAGCTTAGCCATTGTGAATCATGCTGCCATGACCTTGAGTGTCCCTGCTTTCAGGGACATTCCACACAGGTGGACTATCTGGGTGACAGACATCCTGTGCATGAAAAACTGCCCACCATATTGTTTTCCACAGCAGACACACCATTTTATGTCACCCTGGCAGTGCCCAAGGGTTCGTTTCTCCACATCCTCACCCACACTTGTTATGGTCTGGTTTTTCTGGTAGTGGCCTTCTCAGTAAGTGAGAGGAGGTCTTTTATGGTTTTGATGTGCATTGCAGATGGTGGTTACAAAGACTGCCTGCAAAACCCCAAGGAGGGTGTAAGGGGGAACCGTGTGAGTGCAGGGGCCAGGACACTGGACCCAAAGCATCATGAGCCTCCTGTTGGGGGGACTGGAGGTCAATTTTGTTGGCATTGGCTTGACTGAGCAGACACACTGTGGTATTCCCATTGGCAGCAGAATCTGGTGGGCTGTCCCCTGCAGTGGGACAGCAGTGAGACATGCAGTAGGTGCTTACGAGCGTAGGTCAAGGCAGAGAACCAGGAGTAGAAATCTTGGTGTGGAGTGGCCGGCGTGAGGCTGAGGATGAAGACTAGAAGAACGTATTGACCGAACTTCCCATCATCAGTTGCAAGTCAGGATGACGTTAGTGCTGAGCAGCCACTGAAGCTGGCCTCTGAGCATTACCTTCTCAAGTTTGTCCCTCACTGAGCATGAACTGGGGGCTGGGGGTCACCTGCATTGGGCAGCAGGGTCTGGTGGTCCACCTGACTCAAGTGTTAAGACTTCACGTTGGCTTTTCTCACTGAGCCAAGCTCTGAGAAGCCTCCCAGTGGAGCCCTCGGTAGCCTCCGTAGGAAGGACACCATTTGCTGGGTGGAACTGCTGTTCTTCCAGGCTTCTGCCCCTCCCAGAAATGACCAGCCAGTCTTGAACATGAGATAGGTCAAACCCACTGACCATCTGGAGAAGGTGGTTTTGTTCTCCAAGGAGAGAGGAAGTTGGTGGTGGTTCAGCTCACTGTGGCTAGCTTGAGGCTAGGGTAAGGCTTGGTCTCTGAGTCCTCTAGGACACAGTGACTCCCGGTTGCATTAACAGGTTAGTGCTGGGACACCTGCCACCCTGCCCTGTACCTGTGCAATGGGAGCCAGCAGCAGGGTCTCACTCAGGGCTGGTTAATCTACCTCCAGGAGCTATGGCCCCAAAGGGTGCAGTAGCTGCAGGTTAAAGGGACATTTGGCTGGGAACAGAAAACTTGGCCACTTATCCTGAACAGGGCCAGGCTTCTGCCACTACTCAGACCCACCCAGGAGGACCCGTGAGTCCTCCTCCTACAGGGAAATGCAGTCCCACAACCGTGGCCACATACAAACAGCTGTATCCCCAGGCCCAGCCAGATGCCTGCTGAGTGCAACCCTCCACATCCGGCCTGGAGCCACTGAGAACAATAGGAAGGACTCCAGCCTGGCCTGTGACAGTGGTCACCCTCCTTCCACTCCCAGTCACCCACCAGCAACCAAAGTCTAAGACCTCAGAGACTTAATTAGGCCACTAATTAGGGTACAGGAAGGAGCCCTCCAATTGTAGCGCTAACTAGCATCTGAAAACAAAACCTGTGCCTGCTCTACCTTCCCTCCTCTCCACCAGCCAATTTCCAGGCCAGCAGATTTTCAGAGCCAAGAACTGGTCAGAAGAGCTAGAGTCTGGGGCTCTGCAGGCCTGGTAGAGGAGGGGCTGCCCAGCTGTGCTGGAGAGGAGCAGGGATGGTCCCTGGGAGGGGGGTAGGGGCTAGCTGAACTAGGAAGGTGCTCCTACTGGGAGGGGCACCCTGACAGTAGGAAGACCCACTGGGGGCAGGCAAGGAAGTCAGAGCCCAAGAAATAGTACCTGCACCCGCCCACTGGCCTCGTTTACCCCAGGGTCAATCTTTGCTCTCAGATCCCCTAGCCTGGTCCTCTCCAGCAGTGCAGAGTCCCACCTCAGACCTGAAATGCCTGGTGACCCAGTACCTCCCTTTCTCAGCTACCCTCTCCTGAACCCAGCCACTGCTGCTGTCCTCTGCCATTCCCCACAGCCCACCTGCCCCCTGAGCGTCCCTGTACTTGCTGTGGCCCCAGGGAACAGAACCTGTACCCTGCTGGGAAAACAGAAGCACAGACGCATCCCAACAAACTCAGGGCCCCAGGCCAACCATCTTCAAAATCATCGAACTGTGTAGGCTGTCGGCACCTCCAGACACTCAGGGCTGTTAGAAAAGTCTCCCCTTGGTGTGTTATCCATGAGCTTGTGCAAAGGGCTCATCTGCTCTGACTTATGATCACCCCAGGCCTCGGTAACCTAGCACAGCCATCCTTTCTGATACCAAAAAAAAAAAAAAAAAAAGGAAGTAATTAATCACACTTCAGTGCACTATGCATTTTGTTCGGGTGGCAATCCCTTTAGAAAGAGCTGGTGGAGCCTAAATAAATAGAGTCCAGACAGCTGTGCAGGCAGGAGAGGAGGGAGGCCCAACACCAAAGCCAAGCCCCTGGGACAGCTGAAAAGAAACATCCATTCAGAAGGGATCCGTCCACCACATAGCCACTGCAGAAGCCAAGGGCTAATTCCAGCCTTGCTCGTTAAGCCTCTTTTGAATTATAATTACTCCCAATCTCTGGATATCACAAGGCAGCAATTGGGAAGTTAGATGTGGCCAAGAGAGAACAAGAGGCAAGTAGAGAAGTGGCTCCAGCTTGGCGGGCCAGGACAGGCACTGCCAGGCTGTCCCTGGACTCTGACACAGGCTCAGCCACCCACACTTGGTCCTATCACCTGTGCACCAGAGAAGGAGGAACAGGCACAGATGCAGTCTGGCCTCTGGGATCCAGTGTTGCTTTGGTCACTCACAGCAGCTCCTAGCCCTGGGGTACTGACTGTACCATGATCCCCCTTCTCAGGCACTCTCCTTCCAGACCTGAGCTCGCTCCCTGGCTAAGCAAAAGAGCTCCAGCTGCAATGTGGGCCTCAGTATCGTGGGTGGGTGGGTGTCAGCACACAGCCTTCTCCCATGGTAACAAAGGCTCTACAGGGCTGTGCCATGGCCGCCCTCGGCTGCCAGCTGAGTTGAGAACCAGAGACCTGGACTGAAAAGCACTGATGGGTTGGGCCAGTAACCTCTGATACCCGAGCACCCCACTTCCTCCCTCACAGGCATGAGCCCACTGCCTGGTGGGGGCTGGCTTCTCCTGAGAGATAAAGAGCTGTCCAGCCCCACAGTCCCACAGATGCCCACCACCTGCTGGCCTGGCCCACCCAGAGGTTCCGCCTTACCTTGCCAAAGCTGCCCTTCCCGATGGCCCGCAGGATCTGGAAGTGGTCGAAGTTCACTGCAGAAGGAAGCAGAACGACACCAGGTGAGGTGGCAGGAAGGCCCCACACCAAGGTAATGTGTCCATTCTCGAGCATCCCCCACCCACCCACCTGGCAGAGGGTCTTGTGGCTTGAGGTGAACTCAGTTTGTCTATCCAGGCAGAGAATAGCCTGGACGGCCATGTCTTCTTCCTAGGATCATGGGCAGGAACATGGACCTGGCCCACAGGCAGGAGAAGGACAGATAAGCCAACATGGCCCCAGTGCCCCAGACTCACTCAGCTGCAGACCCACCACCAAAGGCCCAACTGAAAGCTGCTCCAAGGCCTAAAACCTACAACAGGCAGCCCCGGGAGTCACAGAGAAGCCAAGTACACACCATCAGGGGCCTGAGCCCCTGCCTGTGTTGAGAGTTCAGAGGATCAGGGTACAGGCATTTGCCCTGCTGGGACTCACTGGACAAGCCTGGTGGGGCTGGAACGGCCCCTCAACTGATAACGGGGTAAGGACGCAGATCAAGACTGTTGCATGGGCCAGGGCTCTCTGGCCGTCCTTTCTCCCAGGGATCATAGCAGGGTGACTCCCAGAGAAACTTTTCTAATGTTATAGCCTGGTGACAGATGCACCTGACACATGTGAGCGTCATCCCTTCTGGGTGAGAGATTCTGGCTTTCTGGCTTCCCACTGTCTGACCCTGAGGTCCTCGCACAGGGTCATTGTGGATTTGGTTCTCAGCCTTCCTCTCCCAGGCAGTGCCCACGTGCCAGAGCTCACATATGGCACCACTCTCCCCCCAGCACATGCTGACCTCTGGCACAGGCCCCTCAAGTTGACTCCCAGGTCAGCAGCTGGTCCCCTGAGCATCCAGGTCTATTCCTCCAGGGTCCCCCACCCACCAAGGGCTTGCACAGGGCCTTGGCAACCACCATGCAGACATAGGCCCTGGAACAGGACTTGGGCCTCCCCTTGGCTTGTGATATTTCACGTGTTAGCCCCAAATCCATTTCTTCCCTGGGGAGTTCAGGGACAGGTGGACCCCACCCCAGCTGTCTTAGGGACAGGAGAAAAACAGGACTCTACAGGTGTGGGGCAGGGCCCACTTTCTTTTTTGACAGTACTTGGGTTTGAACTCAGGGCCTTGTCCATGCTGGACAAGCACCTATCACTTGAGCCATGCCCCTGGCCTTTTGCGTTTGTTAGTTTTCAAAGTGTCCTGTTTTTTGCCCAAGCTGGCCTCAGACCTTGCTCCTCCTGCCTGTACCTCCTGCATACCTGGGATGACAGGTGTGCACACCGTGCCCAGCTTATTTGTTGAATTGAAGTGACGTCTAACTTTTTGCCCTGGCTAGCCTCAATCTGCCATCCTTCTGATCTCGGCTACCACGCACAGCCCTAGTAATTTTGTGTGTGTGTGTGTGTGTGTGTGTGTGTGTGTGTGTGTGTGTGTGTGTATGGTAGTGTGCTAAGCCACACCTGCAGCCACACCTGCTTGAGCCATACCTGCGGCCCACAGGCCCACTCTCTATACAGGAGAAAGTGGTCATCATGTCCAAGCTGGCGCAGTGCCTGAAAGCCCAGCATGTCACCCTGCTCTTTGAGCTCCAGCTACCTGCCTCAGTGGGAGGCCAGCAGACATTGCCCTGCACAGAGCATGGTGGAACTGGAAGACCCCCATGCTGCCACCCACGGCCAGGCTCTTTGTAAACTGGCCTGTTTACATGGCCACCTGCACTAGTACTGCCTGGTGGCGAGGTGGCACAAGCACAGGGTTCCACATCCAAGCAACCTCGAGGGGCTCTGGCCCTGAAGAGTAGTAGCAGCAGTGTCCTGGGTGGGCAGGCTCCACACTGACCTTGGTCTGAAGAGGGCTGCATCATGGTGGAGGGGAGCAGGGAGTCAGGGAGGGGCACGGGGCTGGGCTGGCCATGGTACAGCTTGGGATGAAGGGCTTTGCCAGGGACGTTCACCCACATAGTCCCCACACAGACCCAGCTGCTGCTGTCCAGAGGCAAGTCCATGCCTGGCTCACAAACCCACCATCACACAGTCCCGGCCACTCCCTAAACAGAGCTAAAGACAAGGTGGGATGCGGGATGCCCCCTGCCCACCTCCAGAGCAGCCATTCTGAGTAGATTAGGCATTCTTCTTCTGCGCCCTCCAGCCCCCTGTGGCCAGCCCAAGGCAGAGCCCCAGCACCATCCCCCTGTGTCGTGAGTTCACAGAGTATCAGCCAAGACAGTCACCACCTTCACAGAATAAGCAGAGTTTTCTGACTTTAGTTTTGCTGAAGAGAAAAGGACAGGAAATAAAACACAGTAAACAACAGGTCAGAGGCATGAGGGAGCCTCCCAGCAGCCATCTCCGCCATGCTCAGACACCTGCAAGACAAATCTGCCATCCAGGATGTCAGGAACCTGCAAGGCTTGGCTGGACACAGAGCCAGCAAGTGCAAGATGACTGCACTGTGGTTTGGACACTGGCCGTCCTGTGGCCTCCCACCAACCTTCAGCTTCCTGTCAAGTGCAGTCTGTACTGTGTGCCTGTGGCTTTCAGCTCAACTGTCTCCACTTCCTAAAGCTAGCTGGGAGTCCCAGACAGTGGCACCTGGTGGCTACACAGAAGCTGCTCAGGGAAGGCACAGGTGAGTCAAGAATCCCAGGTGTGACGGTCGGATACCAGAGAACAGCAGAACAGAGTCTTTGAGGTGGGTATATCACATTAGGATCAGCAGCAAAGACTATCCCAGAGGGTGACCACCACGTCCACAGAGCACCTCAGTCCTCTGGGTGCCTGGGGGTTCCATCAGCGACCCAGGGACACACTGGTCCACTGATGCACAGACTTCTGTCTGTCTCCTGACCACCTGGCTGGACGGGAAGCACCAGCCATACTGCTGAGCACAGCCACTGGCACAACCCTGACACCAACCCCAAGGCCTCCAACCCAGCTCAGGCCAGCAGGAGCAGAACTGGAGACCAGCCACTGCTCTGAAGAGGCAGGTCCCTTTCCTCTGAGGCCTACTATTAGCAACCCCAGAGGGTCTCACTCCTGATGCAGGAAAGGGCCAGGATGTCCCATAACTACCTGCCCTGCTCAGTGCCCAGCCAAAGCACTCAACTCAAACCCATTTCTGACTCCTGAAGGAAAGAGTGGCTCTCGTTCCAGCACTCAGTGAAGGCCATAGTGGGAAGGAAACCCACCAGAGTGGGGATTTGTCACAAAAATCGTTTTGTGAAGCTGCAGACAGAAATGGTGCAATCAGTGTGATGCCTTGAAAGTCACCTTACAAACACTGTCCAGATGCCTGACGTCTGTGGAGTCCACTGAAATCCACATCGTGGAGCTTTTGTCATGCCCCAGACCCTGGCCGATACAGCTGAGGGAAGGACAGACTTCTGGGGCCCCGGGGCAGGCCGGGCTCTGTGCACGACCTGGGCAGTGCGTGAGTGTGCCTGGGGAGGGTCCTAGGGAAAAGGTGCTCACTGACTTCTCAGGCTTCCACCCAAATTCCCAGCAGCAGGACAGAAGTCAGAACCTCTTTAGGGCAAAGTTCAATGTCTGCTAAGCCCATGAAGAAGCCAGGGCTCTGGAGTGAACAAAATAGAAGAGAGGGGTGGTCTTCACCCTGGGTGGGGAAGACCTGGCAAACTGAAGAACGTCACAGGGTCACCCAGGAGGGAAATATGAAAACCTAAGCTATGTGGTCAGGGGAGGCTTCCTGAAGGAAGCAGCATCTATGGGTAAGGAGGGTCTGCCAGGCACAGAGCAAGAAGAACCACTCAGGGAAGTGGGGTGGACATGTGTGGGCACCATATTGGCCACAGCTGACAGGTTCAAACAGAGGAGGCAGTCAACTCATGCTAGCAAGCAAACCTCACAGGGCACATCCATTCTCAAGTTCACCCAAATTCACAGAAACACATGGGGTGTGTGGCTCCCCAGGAAGTCCCTGGTGTTGGGGGTCAGCATGGCCTGTGCAGGAAGGAGACCCTGCTAGATGAGGCCCCTAAGCTCACCTCTGAGTTAACCCTGGGGCTGGTGTCTTCCCAAGAGCCACACAAAGGAGTCCTTACTGTGAAAAATTAAAGAACAGATGCCTGACTCTCCCCAAACCTGCCCAGATGAAGGGCCTGGAACCCCATGAACCCTTTTCCGTCTTTCCCTCTTTGGGAGACACAGGAAAAGACCCCCACACTAGACAAGCAAAGAAGTGGGGGGGATGAGGCAGGAAAGGAGGTGGAGCTTGCTGTTTTCACGTGGTCATCTGGGAGACATTCTGAGGCCCAGAAGAGCGGGCTGGGCCCGGCCACGTGCATTAGGGGTGAGTGAGACCCATCTGCACATGCTGCCGTGCGACCTACTGCGCAATGCTAAGAGGGTGCTCTTCAGCCTTAGGCACCTGGTTATGGCAACACAGGCCAGAGGAAGAGCACTTCCAACTCCCAGCAGTCCTGCCCAGGAGTCAAAATGACCGCAGGAGAAGACAGCCTGCTGTGTGTGGGAGGCAGTGGCACAGCTCGAGGCTATGGGTCCTGGAGCCGTCTCCTTTGTATAACATGCCATAGGAACACGGTACAGACTCCCCCTGGTGCAGATAAATCCTTTTAAATTAGGGGTTCTAATGTATTTGTTCTTCGAAGAAGGTTCCCATTTCGCAGCCTGTGTGACTGGAAGTGCACTCCTTGCTGTGAGATCAGGCCATTTTTCTTGTAGCTGCAACTCTGAAACTGTTTGCTCAAGGGTGAGGTACCCCACATGCATCCACACGCACCCTCGGTTCTGGCACTCAGTTCAGCACTGGGTCCACGACAGGCATTGAAGAAGCACCTCCAAGCAACAAACCATTCGGAAAGCTGCAAACCCCAGTGAGATTTCAGGTTTAAAATGCAGTCTTTTCATATACCAGGGCTTTTTCTTAAAACAGACAAAAACATGCCCCCAAAGAGGAAGGCAGAGAGAAGATGGCCCCTGGGAGAGTAAAAATAGCCTGCTGCAGGCCTGTGAGTCACCACTATTG